TTTTTTTTTTTTTTTTTTTTTTTTTTTTTTCCCCTATAGAAAGCAGCGAAAATTTTTCCAAGTTTCAGTTTGGCTGCTTCACAGGAAATTCTTGATCAGTCTTGATCCTGCGCTGGCTGATCATCATTCCGGAGCATTGTGTTTCCTGGGGCTTACCTGTCGTTGCCGCCATCGCGACGCAGACAATGGCGACGACGCTCAACGTCGACGGTCTCATTTCCGCGTTTCGAAGATTCCACTCTCTCAGCCCTCTGGAATCTGCTCCGTTTCATTCATCTTGTTCCTGGGGATGAAAAAAATATACTTAATTATTTATCGTCGGAATTTATGAATGTCGTTAAAAAAATATTCAAAATTCTTCCGAGCTCGTTTTATCTTTTCAATTTAAATCATTTCAGTTCGAAATATTAATTGAAATAACTATACATCCCCCCTAGGACGATATTACCCTATTTTGGGAAATTCATTAGCGCCCAGGTTAGGTCTTGCGTGTATTGAATTATTGTTAAAAGAAAATCAAGTAAAACGAAAAAAAAAAAAAAAAAACATAAATCCCATCCCACGGGTGATCTAGGAAAATTTAAAAAAAAATCCACAATCTGCATCATCTTTATTTATTAATCTTCAACACTGCCGGCCCCCGTCTCTGTTCAGATGTTAAGAAAAGGAGAAGCTGTAGGAAAAAGTGACTAGCCGGATTTACTAGTCAATTTTCCATTTTCTCCTTTTCACTATATTCCCTGTACACGTATATGTATATATATACACACGTATATAGTATAAAAATCCTGGCATCAAATTTTATCGGAAAACGCGTCTAGATATTCGAAGAAATCCAGAGTTCCGTGGCAAATAGTCTGTCGGCGATATAAACGTTGCATCCTGGACAAGGATCGAGATAACAATTGTGCAGGTGCGCAGGCCATTATAATGCATCTACGAGCTTCCCATTCCCGTGATCACGTAGGACCTGCAGCATCACGTAAGCTGTTACAGATAGAGTTAGGTGTATGCGTATACATATATATACGACTAAAACATAAAACATTGATATCCGCCAAGATCGATATCGATAGATCGATATAGATCGCTCTTGGCTCCTCCAACGTCACGTTCAAGCCCAGGCTGTATAACGCGAAGGCGTTCTCGTAGGTTACGTAACGCGCATATCCACGTATGACGTTCATGACCTATCCTCACAAACTCATATACGTATATGAGATACCCTCACGTATCCCTCATCCCTTGCAATTCAATACACCCATCAGATAATTTTGCTTTCCTGACTACTGTTCACTTCCGGTTGGATTAATTTCGCTTCCCTTGATCGAGCATTCGATATATGGTAGACATAGATATAGGGGACCCTAGTGTACGCCCCTGCCGTGCGACACCAGCGCCACGGCCGGCCGGACGGTCGAGGAGAGAACCACTGGTGGGTCAGTAGGTTGAGAACCGCCGACCGAGCAACATCAGAGACTGTAAGTACAATTGAACTGTAGTAAAACTTATTTGCGGATCTTTCCTATCCTCACGGGACAATCTTAGAGGGATCGATGAAGTGAGGGTGGGATATTATTTTTATTTAAATAATGACTAAAAATCCGAGAGCGTTAAGGGCAAATTAAAACGAAGGGGTGGAATGAGAAATAATCATTGGCGTAATTAAGCCTCGTGAACGATCGTCCCTTACTGGTACAATTGATTGGTCGACGCGTGAAACCGAATGACAATTTAATAAAAGCATAACAGGGCTGTGCAATGTTACTATCGAGAACTTTCTTGTGTCGCACTCGTCATTTATTTGCCATTACGTTGAAGCGCGGTGGGTAATCGCCGGGGCGATTAATTCGTTTCCTGACAAATTTCTATCGCTTCGCAACCGCCGCGAATTTATCGCGGAATCGCGCGATAAGGGTTATTTTTATATATTTGTTTATCGATGTAACTTTTGTTGGTTTTGGTAATTTTTTTACACCGGTATCACAATCTTTTGCGTAATTTAATACGCTGTTGTAGTTTACCGCGCTGTAGGTCCGAGTCTCAATTCCAAGTTATAATAATAGTAATGGCTAAGGGGACGCCTGTTTGTACAGATATTTTGACATTTGAGTTTGGGGCATGTTTCTGGTTTTCCTGCCAGTCGGATGTGCATACGGTATGCCAGACGTGCATCGTGTCTCCCTGTATTCAGGGGTTGGCATTCCAAGCAAATGTAACGGGACTGCTAATTATAATGTTTAATCAGAAGCGAAATTAGTTAGAGGAAGCTCGTCGAGTGTGGAAATGTAGGGACTTGGATTACGAGTGTCTGTATATGCATATAATAGGGATATCAATGTTACGTTGGAATCTCATGCGTCCTCAGACTGGGGGTTGGTTTATGATCGAATGAGATATGGAGGCTATTCGATTCGTTGGATAAAATTGATCAGGTCTGATTAATGATATCGATTACAAAAAAAAAAAAAAAAAAAAAAAAAAAAAAAAAAAAAAAAATTATATAAAGCAGTCTGGTCGAGGGTATTTTTGTGCGAGGGTTGGAGGGACGTAGCGGAAGTGAATATTCGGAGATTTTCGAGAATCCTGAATATATGCAGTTTGTGGCTCCAGCATATTTTGGAAATGTGGAGATTACGGTACTTGTGTCATTTAAATAGTTAATGTCTAGGGGGATTACTCGTTAAGGTTAGTTACGTTTATCAAGGTTAAATTCTCATACGGGGTAAAGCTTACAGGGGTTGGTCTCTGGTATACTCGACTGCGTCGATTTTACGTGAATAATGTAGATATGCTGGGAAGAGGTTATTTGTCGAGATGTATTTTCAGATGAAACTGAAATAGCTGAGATGAATTTTTTTTTTTCAAAAATTGATTATCAAGTCTTTTCTTTATGCATTTGCGTTCGGTTTTCATAGGCATAATTGGCACTGTAAATTTGCAAGTACAAGACGGCGGCTTTGGCGATTTTACGAAAATTAAAATGTTTTGAAACATTTATTACGTAATGAGAATTCAGATCCTGCTGCACACTGGAGTGATAAATATTACAAGGCATTACGACATAGATATGCAGCGCCATGACTCGCGCTGGCACCGAGCACTCAGCTGCTGGACCATTACTCTTACTGTTCCTGGAATTCGAGTAACATGTCCAAAGGTCGAATTATCGAAATTCAAAGTTGTTGCTTATCGTCTGAGTCATGTTAGAGGAAGATGAAAGAATTTGAATTTTTTTTTTTTTCAAGTTGTTTCTTTTCATCCGAATTGCCATACGAGCTCGAGGGTGAAAAATCCCCTTTCAAACGTCTTTCAGGTAATTGCGCAAACCTTTTTGGCGCAGGTGGAGGCAAGGACGCGTTTGGCAATTTCATTATTTTTAACAGTTTTTTTTTTTCTTTATATTTTATCAAAAAGAGCACTTTGTATCTTCGCTCTCCTCGATGCCCGTTTTTGGCAGTACCTAATCGCTGAAAGAAGTTTTGATGGAAAGGGACGAGGCTTGGTACTCTTGTCATCCTTTTTTTTTTTTTTTTTTTTTTTTTTTTTTTTTTTTTTTTTTTTTTTTTTTTTTTTTTTTTTTTTTTTTTTTTTTTTTTTTTTTTTTTTTTTTTTTTTTTTTTTTTTTTTTTTTTTTTTTTTTTTTTCCTTATATTCCAAGTAAAGCAAACGCCACTTTTATTCTTTCGGAATGTCAGAATTTTATCGGATAATACGATTTCATGGATTCTGCCTTTGTGCTGGGAAGCCGTCGGGTCGTCAAGGTTGGTCAAAGGGAATTTTTGCGAATTTAGCCATTTCCTTGTTAAGCCCAACGTTCAATCTTCTTGTAATGCCCATTTGGTTTCGGGATGGTACCGAGAGAGCTTATAAATTTATCAATTACTTATCTCGACGTGATCATGATGATTATAATTTTTTTCTTCGTTTTTCAAATAATAATTCATTCCGCCAGGATCCAAATTGTATTTTCGTAAATTAATGAAAATGCTACTAGAATATTTATATCTACCTCGTAGATAGCGGTAGAACGAAATTTTATACCAGAACGATAAATCAGTCGTTACTCGTTTTAGATGGGATTCTGTGAGCTCTGGACCACTCCTCGAGATAAATCGCGTGTGTGTTCTGTCGTAATGTTTTTGGACATTGAAAGAAAGACTGCCCAAGGTATTTTCTCACGTCGAAAGAATATATACCAGATAGCAAAGTAGAGGTTGAATAAAAAATAATACATTTTTATTTTTCAATTTTCATTGAAGTTCAACAAAATTTGGTTCATTTGATAATTGTTTTTTTTCTCTTCATTTTGACCTCATCCGTCATCGTTAAAGCCACAATTAAGAAAAGTGTCAAACAGAACGCAAACTCTCTTTATCTTCATTAAAATTTCTTCTCTCGTCTATATTTGTAAAATTCTCAATTATCTTTGCTTTTGACAATTTTTCGAAAAAGAAAAACAACAATTATCAGTCTGTAGTTTCTACGGTTTCTATTTTAACCATGCTGCGCGAGTTCGTTAAATTTTTTTACAAAAATTAGTAGCTAAACTTTCCAACAAGCGTTTTTCATCCAACTTTCTTCTAGTTAAGATTCAGTAAAACTTTTCTCGTGGTAAAAAAAGAATAGTTACTCTCCATAGCGCAGCATCCGAAACACTAAAGATATATTTCCTTGTGCCATCCGGCTAACGGTGCCTTAATGGCTCGAAAATTTTACAGACTCTACCACGCATTTCCTCGCTCTGATATTTTCCAACTTTTACATTCATTTGGGTCGATTGCTTGGCGAACGAAAATCGGTGAAGAATCGATTACCGAAAGTTACTTCTTAACTCCCGAAATACTTTTTTCTTTTTATCATGATTAGGCAGTTTAGCATCTAACTATAGCTCCAACGATCATAGTACATAAAATACTTGTATGACTTGATTATCCTTGACAATACGATTATCCCTTATAAGTCCAAAATTAAAAAATGAATTTTGAAATCTGGTAAAGTCCAACTCAAAAAACCACTATTTTTCAATTCTCCTTTTCCACCCTAATATTTCGTTATCTCGGCCCAAGTCCCAATCAGGAAGTCGTTTATGTCCTTTATCAAAATGCAGGAGCGAAGTTTCGCAAAGGGAAAGAGATTAGCATATTCCCCAAGACACGTTATACCTAATCGAATCAGCCGTGCAGGACATCTCGTGGACGCCATTTCGTTTTTGGCTTCCTGAACTCCCCGCCAGGAAGTTCAGGCGCTGAGTGCTTCGGAGTTTGGCTTATGCGGTACTTT